CGTCACTGGACGATTGATTGAGTGATTGAGGCTAGCTCTTTCTAAGGGACCCAACAGAATAGGCGTTTTCCTTCACCTGAGGACGGAAACAGATCCAGTTTCCGAAACGTCGTGTTTTTATTATCTTAGAAACCAGGACGATGGATAAAGTACAAAAACTCAATATATCAGTGTGTTATACACCATCGTCAGAATCCTATAGTAACTACTTCCAAAAACCTAGTATATTATAACACCTTAAAATTTGTTATGAAACTACAAAGAGCTGGTTTTTTTTTTTTGTTTGTTTTTGTTTTTGTTTTTTACTTTGTTAACCGGTTCCACGGCTCTGCGCTTCACGACGGCCGGTGTGTCGCTTGCTGCGAAACGCATACACATTTTGCCGATGAATAAGAACTTGGAATGAATGGAATGAATGGAAGTGATTCACTTGTGGACCTCCTGACGTCATTATGTTTCACGGCGAGCAGTGCGATTCATGCGTGGAACTTTCTTTATGATTTGTCAGCAGTAGGCAGCAGTTATCAGCTCCATTAGCCATTTGTTCTCGGAGTTACTGAGCAGTGCGTTACGTCATGGTGCGCCATACTTTAGAGCAACATGTATTTCTGTATGACGCCCAAGCGAAATACTCATCTGCTAGAAAGTGTCGGCGAAAATTTCGACGTAAATTTCGTGATGAAAGAGTTCCCATCAGACAAATATTTCACAATCTGGTGAATAAACTTAGAACAACGGGACTCTTAATATACAACAAACAAAAACATAAGCGCCGAGTGCTTACTGAGAAGTTCGATGACATAGGGGCCAGGCTTGAGCATACACCTAGAGAATCACCGAAAACGTCTCGCTCAAGAAACTGGGGTGTCGAAGTCTTGTGCAAGAACGGCAACACAACTGCTGAAGCTTAGACCCTACAAAACATTTCCAGGCCTCGCAGCTGCGCGATCCAGTTAGCAGGGTTCATTTTTGCAGTTGGTTTCTTAAGGCTGTCGGCGAAGGAGAGATCGATCCGCAATTAACGTTCTTTTCTGATGAAGCGAGGTTTCACTTGCAGCGATACGTAAATACGCAAAATGATCGCTGCTGGAGTTCACTGAATCCACATCTAACTCACGAAATCACGCTCCATCCAGTGGAAATTGGTGTATGGTTTGCTGTATGTGTATGTGCAAGAGTTGTCGTACCTGTGTTTTTTAACGAAACAATTGCGAAAGATATGCGTAGGTCATTCTCGGGCAATTCTTTCCAGAGTCAACAGAAGAAGAAAGACTTTGGTTGGTTTCGGCAGGACTCAGCTACTGCCCACTACATGTACTGTATGTCTATGCAGGCTTTGTCCGATGTCTCCGGTGATAATTGGCCAGCAAGTTCACCTAATTTTATTCCATGTGATTTTCTCTTCTTGGCTTGTTTCAAGGAAAAAGTTTACTACATTAACATCCGAAAGGAAGAACTAAAAGCAAATACTCGTAGGGAAATTACAAATATTCCTGTAGACCAGATTGAAAGGGTAAATCACAGCCTCTTCCGCCGGTGCGAGGTATGTCTACGTGTACAGGGACGAATTTTCAACACCTTCTGTGATCTGTGAATTGTAACTACTTCACTTTAAAAGTTATCGGCCCTCAGCTATGCTGATTAATCGGCAGAATTCGTATTCAAACCACAAGTGGTGCCCCGGCCGCCGTGAAGCGCAGAGCCGTGGAACCGGTCAACAAAGCAAAAATTCTCCCTGCATATATCACCATGTTTTAATAGGTATTCATATCAGTATAGCCTTTTTGTTAATTAAAACAAAACAATATTTTGTTAAAATTAAAGGAAAATATCATTTTACCAGTTTGATCTGCCTCCCATGCAGGTATTTCAACTTTCTGTATTGACTCCTGTGCAGTAACGGCTGCTCGCCACTGGTATAAATATTTCTGTTTCATAAATATATGACATTGTGTACCTTCAATGGCAGGTCCAGAATTTCTGAGCTGTTGGTCGTTAAGAGGTACACAGGAACCATCATAATCTATTAGTTGCCAAAATCACTGTAAACAAATAAAAATGAACTGCTCGAAACTCTAAATAACAATGTAATTATATGATGTTTTTACTGTGTGAGAAATTATATAGTCAGGAATAAATATTTTTTTTTTTACCCCAAGATGTATTCATCAGCATTAAATCTTGAAGTTCGCTTACACATATTTAAATAATGAGGTTCAGCAATACTGGAACGACTATTATTAGGTAACGTTTCCATATTAGAATTCACGCTCGCAGATGTCCTTTTTTCAGGAACAAGAGAATTAAATTCACCACTTAACAACGGAGAGTCAAATCTTTCAGTTCTTTCACAAGACTGGAAACAGCTCGTATCTTCGAATATATCTTCCTCAAAGAAGGACCTTGTTCTTTGTTGATACCATGTACCCCTCAACTCGTGACCCGTTTGGCTGTGGTAGAATGATGATTGTCTGAACTCATCTCCCACCTCAGTAACGGATTCTATTATACCGACAAGCCTCAAGAAAGTAGGTCTATTTATCGGTCGCTTTTGCCAACATGCTATCATAAGCCTGTACAAAATATCTGGACAACTGTCAGGTTTTTCTAGCAGCTCGCCTCTTAGGACAAATTGTAGAACTTGTTCGTTGGCAAGTCCTTGATATGGTTGTTCGGCAAGGGTTGATATTTCCCATAATACAACACCATAACTCCATACATCAGATTGATTCGTGAATATTCCATCCGCTAGACTCTCTGGCGCCATCCATCTGACTGGTAGCAAACCCTTGTTTCCTTTTCGATAGTAATCTGTCTCGTAAATATCTCGCGCCATTCCAAAGTCCCCGATTTTGACCGTCCCGTTTTCTGACAGCATACAATTTCTTGCAGCCAAGTCTCTGTGGACAAACTTACTAGCTTCAAGGTATGCCATGCCGTCAGCAATCTGCGCAGCCATCAGTAATATACGAGAAAGATTAATGGGAGACGGGACCATATTTCTGGCTTCTCTCAGAAATGTCTTCAAGTCTCCAAGAGCCATAAGCTCCATCACCACGAGAGGAGGTTGGCCTCTAGAAACCACTCCAAAGAGTCTCACTACATGATGCCCACCGGTGAAAGACTTCATCACCGAAGCTTCAGTAAGGAATTCAATTCGCTCTCGAACAGTAGCCTTTTCATCCACAGTTTTCACGGCACAACGAATGTTCGCCGGCCAAAGAATTCCCTCATATACAATACCGAAAGAGCCCTTACTAAGCATCCGCACCAGCTCTATTTTGTCTCTTACAATTTCCCACTCGTCCGGCTCGTAAATAGCGAGACTCACGTATTCTGGGTTTGGTGACGTCACAATAGTCCTAAAAGCATTCTCTTTCATTTTCCTCCACAGAAAATATGAAAGACAAAAGAGAAGAATCGAGGAAATAATAATCACTGATAGGAGAACGAAAATCTCGGGACGGCGAGACGCAGTCTGAATCTCTCTGTTCACTGTGAACGTCGCAATATTTGTGTATTTACTTTCACCTGCGAGAGACGTGGTTTTAATACGCAGGGCATATTTTCCTGGAGCCAAGTTGCTCAAAACAAACCAATTTTTCCCCCTCTCAAACTGAAGTTTGGTCACACACACCACGACAGGTTTGATATTTATTATATCGGTCCTTCTATATTCCACGTGATATGTTACCACAATCCCATTCGGACTTGAAGGTTCCAACCAAAACACTCTCACAGTCCCCGATGCAACTGTGACTTTAACAGAACTTGAATCTATGTGATCTGCAGTTTCCAGTTTCCGAGTTCGAGCTGTAATGAGACTGGCTGGACTGCACTGTTTATCATTCCACTCAAAATCAACTTCTCCGGAATGGTTCTTCCTGCAGACTACAACCTTCATAGTATATTTGGAAAAATGATGAAGATCCTTGATGACTACAGTTGTGGTATTTCCTTCAGATCTCTGCATGAAATGACCATCCGCAAGATCAACAGAGTCATATATCCCTCCTCCATTTCCGTACAATCGAGGGCTGTATAGAACACTATAGATTGAATTTTCCTTGTCGCAGGAATCTTCTTCATTAACAGATTCTTGGGTGTATATGACATTAAAGCTTGAGTCGTCGTTGGATATACAAGTTTCACGAGATACTGGTTTGCAACAGGAATCCGTCGGTTTAGATTCGTCATACAATAACTGATTCTCTCCATTTTCTTTTTGATATTCTAGAGGCAACTGACAATAGTCTCTCTGGTCTAACAATTTGGCGTCATCAAAATGACGCCAACCTACTATAATATAATGAGATATTTCCCCGTTTGGAAACAGAGGAGGTTGCCAGTGTAGAATTATTTCTGAACTTGAATTAGAGTAAGCTATGATGCGTCTAGGAATGGAAGGTCTGTCTGGATAAGTCCTGAAATATTGAATGGAGCTCCTTCCCTCTTCCGTAGCCGACGCCGTCACGTACGATTTTACATAGTAAGCATATAGAGTGAAGGGTTTCAGATGGGTGACGTTATGGCACATTCTGGTAGGAGTTGCTGATTGGTTGGTAGTGAGGACAACGTAAGCTACTTTCCATTTATCAACTCCACAGGCGTCATTGTCAGTTTCAAGGGTCACATTTCTGACAGCAGTTTCCATGTAGTGTACTGTGTAGCCTAACAGTGTCCCACGCCCTCTGGGGACGTGGAAGGGATCCCACTGAATAGTTACGGATGTGGAATTGATCACCACCGAAGACGCATTCATTTTAATTACGATGCAAGTAACTTCGTTGCCGTTGGATTCGTATGAAATTTCATCTGCGCTGTTGTTGTGAAGCCCAGCAATATCTCTCAGTTCGTCTATTTCTGCGATGCATAGTTTTGGATTGGAGTGCAGAGATATGGTGCCTTTCTCAATAGTAAAATTTCGAGGGCGGGCTTCCCAATTCCACAGTTCTTGAAGATTATCATTGCCCACTATGACTAATGCAAACTTATCACTTTCAAGTCGCAGTCCGTGAATCACTTTTAGTTTCTTAAAGAAATTAAGGGTTACCAGTGGGTACGAGTGGGAGATCTTCAAGTAGCCGCTAATTTCTTCGATTGCGTCAAAGTTATTTTCTAATTCCTCAACCACTTTATTTCCCATCAGGTGGATCGCCAAAGAACCGTTGACGTAAGTACAACCGTTGAGGCTCTGTATATCATAGATGTTCTCAACTGGGATCCGAGTCGCATTGCCACAGATTTTCCGACAGTGATCCACACAAGCTTCACACAGCTGCTTGCCGCCACTGTCGGTGTACGTCTGATAACCCTGAGGACATGTCAGGCTGCACGTTCCGTTGAAGGGAATCCAGGCCTTGTTTGGGAGACCTGCACGAAGATCTCTCTGGAGATATGGAGGTGGTGGTACGGTCGAATTACGACACTCCTCTTCAGTCACGCAACGTCGGCCCACGAATTCAAACCTGTAAAAAAAAAAAATCTTTATGTCTCAACTGAAACGTCACTCCATGCAGCTCTTCTTGAGAAGCCAACAGACCTTAACTAAGTATCCGCCTTTTGCTGATAAAGGTGAAATATATTACTTGAGCAATACGCCAAGAAGATCTGAGGGAGTCAAGGTACAGCTCTACCACTCTCGACTTCGGCACTAGATTGGGGGGGGGGTCACATTCACGCCCCTCCAGCGCCAGACTGGACGCTGTGGAGAAGAGACAAATCTTGCCTTGGCGGGAATCAAACCCTGGCCGTCCAACACATAGTCCGTCGCTATATCAACCGATCTGTCACGGCTCCCACCTTTTACACGTACTGACACAAGAATCTGTTACTGCAACCAACACTGAATCACTAGGCATTAAGTCCATACCCTCAAACATGCTTGTTTAAGATTAATTTTAATATTATCCTTTACGCGTGCTTTTTTTCCCCAAAATAGTTCTTTAGAATCATCTCTGTCATGCTGATAAATGTCCCTCCTTTGTTTTTATTAGCGAAATAACATGCGGGTGAGCATCAATCATAAAACCCATATGTATTTGTTTGCACCCTCCTGATGCTTCCTTCACTCCCTTAGATCGAAACATTCTCCTGAGCGCCGCTTTGTTACTCCGTTTTAACTCATGGTCTTCATTTACGCAGAAAGTTCACGTTTTACGCCCCACATACGCGGTAAGAATAATTGTTTCGTTTCAGATTTGTATAATTTATTTTGACCTTTATGTCTTTAGAAAACAAAACAAAAATTCTGAAGTGAATGGTGCCAAGCATTTTCGAAATAATCTACTTTTCATTCTTGAAGAATGTAATGCTGATTTATGACGAAGATTACAGTTCCCGGCGATGAAACTGTCTACTGTCAGGAACATACACGTACTCGTACAAGGGAAAAAACTGCGGGTCGAATTGGATAGTAGATATCGATATTTATACTTTATATCGAATCAGATAATGGCTGATAATACACTCTATTACTCATAGTGACACTAGCATTCAATGTAGGACCCTCTTTTAAATAGGGCATTTGGTCGTAGGAAATGTATAGATTTGGAAAAGGACTCAAGGGGGCGTTCGGGAAAGGCAATAATCAGTTTCTGCGGGCATTCGCTGAAAAACAAAGGGTGAATTATGTAGCAAGTATCACTTTTCTAAACTATTCCTTACAAAATACACAAGATTCTCTGGAAACAACACACGTAATTCTGAACTATTCCTTACAAATTACACAAGATTCTCTGTAAACACACGCAATTCTAAACTATTCCTTACAAATTACACAAGATTCTCTGGAAGCAACACACGTAATTCTAAACTATTCCTTACCAATTACACAAGATTCTCTGGAAACAACACACGTAATTCTGAACTACTCCTTACAAATTACACAAGATTCTCTGGAAACAACACACGTAATTCTAAATTATTCCTTAGAATAAAAACATAAATCTCTGGAGATAACATATTGTAATGGATCTGATCAACGCGTTGCCAGGCAACAGCTCTGTAAACACAGCCCAACACGCAATATACTAGGAAGCTGCGTTTTCTGCAGTTCCGACCGACGCACCAGTAGACTGGCTGGAAAGTCTTCACGTGATATACGTTCATTGTAGGTACATGTCCGTTCCGCGGCTGTATAAGTAAGTGACAGAATTCGTTCAGGACAGTTATGAGTAGGGCCCGGATCTTTATGCGCTACAATCACTTAAAATATGCGATTAAAAGCGGGAAAATATGCACCAAAAATAAAGCAATATGCACTTAAGAAACAGGTCGCTTTATTCAGACTCACCTATTTACATGTATCATTCACTGCAGAAAGTAGCATCACAAGAGGCAACTAGAAGTCTTTCAGTGTTTTCTGGAGACAAACTGCGTCTATTGTCCGTCAAAATGAGTTTATAGGCTGAGAATGATCTTTCTACATCAACTGACGTGATTGGACAGTATTTATACACTGGCGCCGAAGGTTCGGAACATTCATTTGGCAAAGATACCCTAATTCCACTCAAGTACTGACTAATTGACTGAATCTTTTTTAGTCCTGGGTTCGATTTCAACACCTTTTATAATATGAATTTAATCTTCTCTCCAATTTCTCCTGGAGCGGAATTCAGTGATCAAGTTCCTTTCTGAACGAGTTCAAGTGAGTCGTGAAGGAGTGCACCACAAGATTCTAAGCTCTCAATGGCTTTTGAAACTGTAGAAAAATGTGCATGGACAAAATTCATGTC